CTCTCAGACTGAAGAAGTCTCTTGGAGGAGAGACGAAACGTTTCATTAGAGAAGAACCCGTCCAGAAGACCTATACAATGTTTTTCTTTTTGATCCACCTCCATTCTTTGTTCAATTAGCTTTTTGTAAATATTTGTCTTGTCACGTGGACTCAGCAGGAAGCAGACCCAAGTTTTTCATTTGTTTCAGCCACAAGCAAATATTGAACCTTTCAGAGACACACCTTATTTTATGCGTTGGCTCAGCTCTGGCTCGCTTTGTTCAAGACCTCAGCTGTGTCTTCTCGCAGCTGCTGCGCTCGTTGTTTTCTTTTGCACCTGAGCAAAAACAACACTTCACGCCCATACGTGTGCTGGAGAGGAAACYGAGTAAAAATGGACTTTTGGTTGTGACTATGCTGCAGGAGGAGAACACCCCCATGCATCTAGCCGTGAGGGGAGGGCACACCCGAGTCCTGCATAAGATCCTGGAGGTGGGCACCGATGTAGATGAAAGGAACATAGTAAGTCTCATGACAGAAAGCACATGTTTAAACATCGGTTCTTTCGTATAAAGTTGGAATTTCTTCTTGACTTGTTGGTTTTATCATTATATAGAAGCTTTTTTTTAGCCATTAGCTAGCTTTAGTCAGTCTGTTCAAACKTTTTATTAAATAAATTCAGGCAGCTTAAATATTTTTCCTGACAGTGTCTCACTGGAAACTTTGAGATTCTGTTTTCCATTTTTATAAATACTGCCAGAAGGCAGATTCCTCCGTCAGTAACGCAGGGACAAGATTTGTCATTCCWGACTTTTATGTTGTTTTGCTACATACCTGCTAACAGCAAAACAAACAAATCAAGCATAAAGGCAGCTGTGTGTTTTCCCCTCATTTTTCTTTTGAAAAGAGGAGTCTAAAACAACACAGTTCCAACTTCTTTAAGAGCCATCGTCTGCAGCTTCAGGACGTGAAGTGTAGAGCAGCAGTTTGTCTCAGGAAATGCAAGTTTGATGTGAAAATGAGAGGATTCGGAGTGTCTCTGTGTTAAAYGTTTTGCTGTGTTTTAGGATGGAGCGACAGCGTTACACCTGGCAGCTGAAGGAGGTCACTATGACTGTGTCAAACTGCTGCTGAACACTGGCTGTAACGTCAACGCACAAACTAATGTACGTTTGCTTCCCTGTTACTAAAAACCCAACATGTGACCGTGTTATTCTCTTCTTTTACCTGTTTTTTTTTTGTTTGTTTTTTATTACATGTGCGTGCAGAAGAACATGACCGCTCTACATTTTGTGGCCCAGCGGGGCTTCGACAGAGTTGCCCGCTTGCTGCTGGAGGCAGGAATCAGCATCAACACTGTAGACAATGTAAGAGGAGTTCTGAAAATGTTTTCTGTTGTGTGTTGATGGTGTATTGCTTCATAAATTTTTTTTTAATTGTGGATAAGTTTTCTATTACTCTCATCTGAATAAAGGTAAAAATAAAAGTCCGCCAGGTATTTTTAACTGTTCACATGCAGGAGCAGGAAAAGTTAGTTGAACAAATCTTGGTTTCGTACTCAGGAAGCAAAGCATTTTATTACACTGTGACACAGATTTATGTCCCTTTTTAAAGGTTGTGTATTCTGCATAATCAACTTTTTTGAGCTTTACATCATGTTATAATGTCATTCCCTCATCAAAGTGTTGCTTTGACTCATACATGCATGTTGGAAAAATCCTTGAATCTCCTGATTTTCAAACACTGAGACGCCTCACACATGACGAATAAAAAAAAACAACAAAAAAACATTGATATAACAGGTTTTGTCCTGTAGTGTGTGGTGTACAGGCACACAGCTAAAGATAACACACAGGAAACACAGATTTCACTCACCTATATTCAGATGGTAGACGGGAATTTTTACAAGACCTCTCAAGATCAAATGTAGTTTATGGACTGTTTTTAACAGAAAAAACAAAACAAAATGACATCTCCAACGTCCACCTCGGCAGCTGTTTTTGTCTCCTGTAGTTTGGATTCCCGTCCGTGTTTCTGTCACCTCGCTTCCTGATTGGCTACACGTCACATTCAACAGTCTGTGAGCTCGTTTGTCCTCGAGGAACACCACACACACTGGGATATCAGGACCAAAACAAAACAACGTGTTGAATATCTCTGATACGGAATTGGAGCGGTCCTGCTGAGTTGATTACTTTTACCACAACACACAGCAGGAATATCGCCTAAGATTATCTTTTAGAGCCATCACAATAATAGGAGCGTCATTAAGATTGTCAGAAGGGTAGAATCAGGTCAGTGAATTAGTTTGCCCTGTGAACCCTGCATAATTCTGAAAATGACTGGGACTTGGGCCGAGAGAGTGTTTACTGTGTGGAGGTTTAACACAGAGTTTAGCTAAGCTAACATCAGTGGAGACACACTAAATAAGAACAGAATACATCCAGCACACAAACACTTTTACTCTGTTTAACAAAGTAATTGATAGAGAATTCTTTGTTTACTGAAGTAAAAGTGATTGGAGCGGATTCAAGTCTGATCCTTCCGGTTGATCTTTGAAATTGGGGCGTGTGTGTTTGGCATCTCGTAACATCCACATTGTTTAGTGTAACACACGCCTGTTTTCAGTGACTTTATTTGTTTTGGTTGAAGCAACATGTGACAGCGCTCCACCTGGCTGTGTCCAACAACCACTCCCAGCTCGTTCAGATGCTTGTAGATGCTGAGTGCGACCTGGACGTTCCTGACCGTGTGAGTAGGAGCCGATTTCCAACCCAGAGCATTAAGGCTGAAAAGCCATACTCATGATAAATCCCAACCGGCCCCGTGAGTAAGAAACCTGTCAGTAACCCTGAGCAGATGTGCGTTGTGTCTCACAGAGGCAGCAGACTGCACTGCACATCGCCGCAGAGAACGGCTGGCAGGACCTGGCTGAGAGGATGCTCATATCTGGTGTCAACCTCAATCTGACTGACAAGGTACCACAGTCCCCAAGCAGAGAGGAGATGTATGGAGAGAGCTTAGTCTCAAAATGTGAGCATGCAGGAAGCAAGATTAGAGCGAGCAACAACATTTGCGTGTGCACGGATCTGCTCGCCTGTGACTGTGACTTTTGAGACTTACGCACATGTAATGCTGCGTTCAAGGCTGGTGAAAAGCTAGGAAATCTGAGCTTTACCACATTTACTAGGTTATTAGGAAAAATACCTTTCTGGCTTAAAACTCATAAAACACATACACTTGCATGGACATCGCAAAAATGTTACACTTTGTGGACTGCACAGCTGAAATAATCAACCTACAAGTGCATTGAAAATTTGTCAGAACACACACACACACACACACACACACACACACACACACACACACACACACACACACACACACACACACACACACACACACATATATATATCCAGAAGAATATATTTTTCCTTTATTTTGAGTATTTACTTCAAATGTATGATCCTCACAAGAAATATAGAAAATTACATTATTTGAAGGTAAATTATTAGGTCAAAAATACAATTTCATGAAATGATTTATCCTAAAATAATTTTCTGACCTCCATTTGTAAAATTTGTAAACTTGTGAAATCAAATTAGGTTAACTTTATTTTGCATATAAGTCGTAAGAAATCATCAGTTATTATTTTTGTTTATTTTTGCTAGGAAAAAAAAGATATTTTTTCCAATCAAGTCAGGATTGCTTTCAAGAAACAAACCACTTGATGCCACGCACAGCTTTTTCTTGGAATAATGTTGGCATTAGAGCATAGAAGGCTGTGACAACTACAACTTTATTCTTTCACCCACAACACAGGAGAGCCCACATCACACCTGTTTTAGCCTCTCTGCACTGGCTCCCTGTGACTTTGAGGAGTCATTTTAAAATTTTGGTTTTAACTTTCAGAGCACTTCATGTTCAGGCCCCCAAATACATACTGGACCTTCTGAAGCCTCTCTGTCCATCCAGGACGTTGAGGTCTTCTAATCAAATGCTGCTGGTGGTCCCTCGAACCCATTATAAAACCAGTGGAGACAAAGCTTTTCAGGTGGTGGCCCCGAGRCTCTGGAACGCTCTCCCTCTGTCCCTTCGCTGCTCAGATTCTACTGACTCTTTTAAGAAACATCGTAAGACATTTTTATTCAGACACACTTTTAGTTAAGTGCTTTTTATTGTGTTTTAATTGTTGTTTTATATCTGTGATCTGTTTTATTGTTTTTAGTTATTTTTGCTTTCTGTGAAGCACTTTGTGATGTTTGTGTCTGTGAAAGCTGCTATAGAAATAAAGTTTACTTACTTACTTACAACAAATAAACGTCCAAAGCACCACAATGACCACCTGATATGAGACAGAAATGTCGGGATTTGAAGCAACAGTTGTCATCTCCACTCTTAACACATGGGCAGCCAGGATGACACTGCTCATTCAGGTGTATTTTGAAGCTGCATTTCATACATATGGCCACCAGATGCCGCCTTATTCAAAACAAGCTTTAGAAAAGCTTTATTCAGCCTCACTACCCATAACATGAAAATCATCACTGATTTATTTTTTGTCTATGCTTATTTAAAATTGACAACAAAAGTCATCTGAAGGCATTGCACATAAAAACAAACACTTCCATTATTGTATCAGTTTATTTTTAAAATGTAGCCATTTTATACCTCCGCTGCAAACACTTTTTATTTTTATCTTATGTTGTCACAACTTTTCATTCATTTTTTTACAGAGGTGTTTCTCTGACTCTGATCTCCACAGCAGGGGAAGACGAGTCTGGAAGTGGCAGCAAGAGCGAACCACGTCATTCTGGTCGACATGATTATCAAAGCTGATCGGTTTTATAAATGGGAGAAGGTGAGTTTGGGCGAAGCCACAGWGAGGCTCCTAAATATATTTAAAACATGAAAAATACAGATTAAAAGTCTCAGGACACCCTTTTTATTTCAGATAGTAATAGGAAAATGATATTTCTAAATACCCCAGCAACAGGAGAGAAAAAGAAATAGCCTATTGTCCCACAAAGAGGAAATTTGGTCTTAAAAGTAGCATCATATATATATTATATACATAGTTTATATAGTTTGTATATTTTTATATATATATAGTTTCACACGAGAAATTCCAAAACTGCTAAAACAAAAAAACTATAAAAAACAAGATTAACAATAATAATAGTAACAATAACGATATACTGTACACAATTAGAGTAAAACTGTTCAGTTTTAAGAATAGCAGTGTTGTGAGTCCATTAACTGTTCAGGTGAACACCCAGGTACTTATCTCAATGCCCACGCCCTGGATAATGAGATGGTCTATTATTTGTAAGGCTATGGCTGTGTCCAAAATGACAGGCTGCGTCCTCCGGAGTACCCAGGCTACCCGATCGAGGTGGGCTGGGTCCTTGGTAGACCAGGAAGACGGGAAAAAAAGAGGCTGTGAATTTGGACGGTCTAGGCTCCCGTCCTTACGTCATGTCACCTAGCATCTGTGACGACGCTAAACAAGCAAACTTAAATCTAAACTAGAAAAATATCAATATATTAGCATTATTAATATTACAAAACAATAAAATTTACTTAAAGGTAACATTTGAAGAACTAATTGACCCGCTGTAGGTGCATGTTTATTTCACAATTTTTATGACAAAAATAATATTTTAAAACATGTCTATACAAATGATAAAAGTATTAGAATTACAACCGCAATTTTTTTTATTTCCATATCACCATATTTTTATTTAAAACTTATTCTTTTCTCTCGCTTCGTCCGCCATTACTAGCTTAAACAAATCTTCGGTCGGGCCGCAATGCATTATGGGATATGCTGGGCCGGGAAGGATTCATCAGACCTGTCCTGCAAATCGGGGAAAAAGAAGGACGTATTTGTCGGCCGCATCAGAGGAGTCTGGTTTTGGACGTCCTTCGTCGCGGCGCTGTGACGT